TGGGACCCTGTGAGTTCCAGTACAATTTCGTTCCACCACATGTGGGTGTGTACGACAAATGAACTTTGAATCCTTGAAAGTCCATTCTGATCTGAGTCCTTTAATGCAACATCTGACTCAGACGTCAACTAACCTGGGTGTTAGAGTGGAAAATGATTTAAAACGATGTGTTAATTAAATCAGTGATCAAGTCCAGCTTTTATCACTTAAGAGATAGTCATAGTCCAATCATTTTCCAGTATTTTACAGCATCATTTTGAGATTTTAATTCATGCTTTTATTATGGAACTTGGCCCATTTTCCTGTGAATGGAGGCATAACGGCTCTAGATTTTCATTTGCAAGACCGAGGCCTTGGACTTGAAAAGTACGTGATCTTCAAGATTCAAGGTGGCTGCTGGTAATAGATGTGGTTTTCTTGGGCTCCATATTCCAGCCAGCTTTTCTTCTAGTTTTAATGGGATTTTGTTTAATCTGTCATTATTTCTCCTGGATGTAATTTCTATATTTGGTTCTGTTGTTTTGGGTGTTCTTCATCACCTTTGGGCCTTGTAATTGTTTCATCGTGAAGACCATACGATCATTTGGAGACGTAAAAGCCATAACCAACAACAAAGAAGGGGTATGGTGGGTGTTTGTTTGCTGTGTTTTTGGCTACTGAGCACCCTGTTCAGGAAAAGTCAGAGCCAAACGACCCCAGAGAAAACTTCTCTACACATGGACAGCGTTCAACTTCGTTTTTTGAGACATGGTTATTTAATTTAAAAAAACTAAATTTAATTAATTTTTGTAATTTTCTCTAACTTCTGGCAAAATGCCAACGGAGTCGATCCACCAGACCAGCTCAGTCGTCACAAGGTAAATAGCAAGGGGCGCCTGCAGAACATCTTATTGGCCTTGCTTCTGTTGAGTGGGTACGTACACCTTAACCCAGGTCCAATAACACAACTTAAAGGTGGAGCCGCGACTGTTCACCAGGTGGAGAATTCCCACTCTGCAATCGACTTCTACACCCAGGTCACACAGAAGATAAAGACAAGTTTGGTGGGGACAATAAATCAGTTGCTTGATACCCCCCCCCCCCAGTGTGGCTGGAAGGCTCCCCTGGCCTGATGGAGAAGTGTAATAATGGGACCTCATCCTGCCGGAACATCTCAAGTCGCCATCAGCCGGTGGAGTACCAACACACCGGCACAGAGCCGCTATGGGACAGAGGAAAGGGAGGAAAGATGACACCAAGCCACACTTCTCACACAGAAACCCCCCTGCACGTACTTTCAAACTGTTAATCACACAAAATAATCTGGGACAAGAACACCAACCTTAAAGGAATTGTTGGAGGACATTTAAACACGAGGAGCGTTTTTTCAAAGGTAGATCAGATTCAACACCTGCTGATCAACTCAAACCTGGTTGAATGGTCATGTGCCCACTCACATACTTGATGTCCCTGGATGTCTGTCTCAGACAAGACAGACTGTCAGGGAAAGTGGGGGGGGGGGGTGTTCTTATTTACATCAGGGACACCCTCAACTGCTCTAAAATCAACGTGCACACTTGTGGACCGGAAGGTTTGGCTGTGAATATTGTTTTATCGCCTAAGATGAACTTTTCTGTTGTTGTTTTGTACAGTCCTTCATCATTTAATGTGTCATTTTATTTTTTTTAAAGTGCCATTTTATCAAAATTTAGATGAATTTCTTAAACAGTTAAACTGGAAAAGTGAAAATATTATTTTTGGTGATTTTAACATTAATTGGAGAAAGTAAATTGAAATGAAAAACAACTGCATCCAAATATACATTACATCAAATGATCAAAACTCCCACAAGAATATCAAAAAAGAAGCACACTCGTTGATTTAATCTTCACTAATAAACCTGAGTGTGTAACAAAAACTTATAATCTTATTACGGGATTATCGGATCACAACTGCACTGTAATTATCAGAAAATTGTCAAAAAAAAGTCTATCGAGGTTTTGTTTTCGATCAGACGTTGTTGTCCACCACACGGGGATCAGAAGGAGTGAGATAAAGCAATTTGACAGTGAAATACAGGATGTGGACTGGGATTTGACTTTACAAGCACATTCAACCTTTATTTATACTGGTTAATCCCACTGAGCCATGACCCCAATACCTGTTGTTCTTACAGAATCGCTTGTAAAGATAATTCATAAATGTACAAAGCCAATTAAAAGTAAGCAGAAAAAGCCTTCACTGCCATGGATTAATAGTGAGTTACATCAGCTGATGACAAAGAGGGACTTGGCATTGAAAAAAATCTCTGAGAACTAATCTGAACACAGACATTCTCATGTTTAAAGGTCTTAGAAATAAAGTGGTTAGTTGTCTAAGAAAAGCAAAAGCAGCATATTTGACTGAACTGATTCTCGATTCAGGAGGCCGGAGCTCCTCTCATTGGTCACATTTCAACAAACTTACGAAAAAAGATATAACTCAGAAAAAAGGTGAACTCAGCTGAACATTAAGGGACACACAATATTGGACTCGACAATAACGGCAAATGCTTTTAATTATTATTTTATTAAATCAGTAGACGAAGTGGCAGTACCCAAAAAAGTTCAGTCTGGTCCTCTGGACATTCAAAAAAATCAAAACAAAGCAAAAAAATGTAGAAATGTTTCGTCTCTCATCCGAGAGACTTCCTCAGTGTGAGGTGCTGAATTGGCAATAAATTTTAATCCCATAGATCCAACAGAGAGTTCAGTTATTGATACATCTGTTGCTTTTCCTTTTAACAAGATCAGTCTTTGTAAAACTCAGCATACCATACCATTTTATTTATAGAGCACTTAAAACAGCAACAAGGCCAACCAAAGTGCTGTACAGACAGAACAACAGGTAACACACAAAGCAAAATACAAAATGAGGTAAATCAGAATATAGACATAAAAACGATGCAGATAATGACGACTAACCAGTGTGGAGCATACAGGATCAAAACACAGATCATCTGGTGTTGAAAGCTACTGAATAGTAGTGGTTTTTTAAACAGGACTTGAAAACCGAGAGGGAGGGGCCTGTCTGACAAGCAGAGGTAACTCATTCCAAAGTCTTGGTCCTGCTACAGAGAAGGCCCTGTCACCTCTGCGCTTAAGACGAGTTCCTGGAACTGTGAGGAGCAACTGGTCCGCTGACCTCAGGGAACGTGGAGGGACATACGGTATATAAAAAAAAAAGCTAAAGATGTTTTTGGGAAAGATACAGAGTTTATAAAGAAACATACCGTTTTGCCAAACCCTATAACCCACTTCATAAATGTATCTTTTACAAAAGGACAATTTCCTGATTCCTTCAAAACAGGACTTGCGACTCCAGTTGTGAAATCTGGTGACTCTGAGCAAGTCAGTAACTATAGACCAATAAGTCTTTTACCAGCAATATCCAAAGTGATGGAAAAGCAGTAGCAGAGCAGCGGATTAGTTATTTAGAAAAAAAAACAGCTTAATTGTCCAGTCTAGTTTGGGTTTCGTTTTGGTTATTCAACAGAACTGGCTACCTCCGACCTTACAGACAATATTAAAAGATCTCTAGATGATGGTAAGGTAGTTGGAGCCGTGTTCCTGGACTTGAGAAAAGCCTTCGATACAGTGAATCATGACATGCTCCTCCATAAACTTAGTAAATATAACTTCTCCCAGTTAGCTACCAGTTGGTTTAGCTCATATCTAAAAAAATAGAAAATAGTGTGTCAAAATTAATGGAATGAACTCTGGCCTTTGAAAATGTATAATGGGAGTTCCACAGGGTTCCATCTTAGGTCCGTTGCTTTTCTGATTATACATTAACGACTTACCGGACAGTTGCAAATACGTCAAATGTCAGATGTATGCAGATGACGCCATCATATATGTATCTGCAAAGACTCCACAACAGGCAGCAGAGTTACTGAACAGGGAGATGGAGGGAGTGTCTCTGATGGGTATTTTTGTACCTAACTGAGAAAACTAGAGCAGAGCACCCATTTTTCAGTCACTTTGGCTCCCAGTTTATTTCCAGATGGATTTATTTTGTGTTAGTTAGTGTTTTTCCACTGTCTTCATGCTCTTGCCCCACAGTACCAGTAGTTCAAAAATACAAATTTATAATGTGTTCTTTTTTTTACAGGTTTTATGCATTTTTAAAAAAATCTGTAAATACAAATTTAAGAGAGGACAAGCTTCAGTAAGTTAGCTAGAGACCATGCTTTTCTCAATAAACAACATGAACAGTAAGTAAAAGAATAAAACAAGTAGATGCATATCACAAGGTGGTTCCTTTACTACTCTATTATTTTGGTGTAATATAACCCATAAATTCAGTTCAGGGTGTTGGTTTTGGTATGTCACTCCAGGATATCCATGTTCCCACACAACCCCACAGTCACGCGCGTGCCACTGAGCTGTTTTTGCGCATGACAGCTTGATTGACTTCCTGTTTTTAAATTCTTTCAACCTTTATTTCTACAAATATTTTCTTAAAACACGCATTTTCCTCTTCGGTTTTTAACTCCGTTTTACATGTTGGCTTTTACTGACTTGTTCTTTGTTGTTTTCATGATTTTAACAGTTCTTTTTATTATTATTATTGTTTTTATTTATTTATTTTTTATGTTTGCTCTTATGGATTTTGAATTGTTGTATTTCACGTTGTTCTTTTATTTTTTTGTGCAGCCAGCGGTGTTTTTGTTGTTGTTTTTAAGGGCTTTATAAATAAAGTTGAATACGTGTGTTCGTTGTTTTTGTTTACAGTGGCCATCCTCGCGCATGCGCGTTGGACGTAAGATAAAACACTTCCGGTCGGCGTTTTCTCAACGTAAGTTCGATAACTCGACCCCATTTGTTTCATTGTAAAATGGTGCTTGTTTTATTTTAGACACAACAAGTTACTTTATACGTTATCGCTTGAACCCAAGGACTTGCAACGGTATGTAAATAAGCTTGTGTGTAACAACTACTGGCAGATTTGACCCCATTAGGAGTTTTTCTGCCATCTTGTGGCCGCACTCGTCTCAGTAACGTGCTGGATGCAACAGTAGCTGAAACAGCTAGCATATGTAGCTCAGGAGGTCCGTCCGCTCACCAGTGGCCCGGCCATCGTACAAACATGCGTCTGCTTACTGGCTGACACTCCTGCGTAGTTTCCTCTTTACCGTCAAGACTCCGTGCGGAGACTCCTGATCTGACAAAGCGCAGCATCTCTTGGTGAGGCTTCATGCTGAGTGCAGGTTCGGCTAATACTGTCCACCAACTTACCTGGTTACTAGTTAATCATTCTGGGCTCATATGCAAATTAACCTCAGATCATGGATGGAGCGGGCTGTGAGGGACTGAGAGTTAAAGCAGGGTGGTAGCTGCTCTTCCTTCGACTCGTCTTTTCAGGAACGCTCATTTTGACTCGTTAGCTTGTAGCCCGGGTTAGCATGTAGCGTTAGCTGGCTAACTTCCGGAGCAGGTAAACTCGGGCAGCGATTCTTCAGGGCGATTAGATTTTAATCGATGGAAGATTTGTCTTTTTATGACAGTCTTTTATTGTAATCTAAATTACCAGTGGACTTGTATAAAAGTGTGCGTGAAAAACGAGCGCCTCTGTTGTTTAGCTGCACATGCACGCTGGCATGTTCCGGTTTGTTGTTGAAAAATCAAGAATATTTCATGTCGTTATCTGATGATTGCTGCCCATGTTGACAGAAATGACTGAATGCCATTAGATGGTGTGCATTATTTGTTCGGTCTGCAGTCATCTTAGTGAGCGGCCGCCACTTCGCACAGCTCAACAAGTTTTACATTTTAGAGCTGAAAACTCAATCCAGGTAGAAAAATCTGTCGGGTCCAAGAATCCGGCCAGATGATCTGACTTAACCTTGTTACATAGAGCCGGACACTTTCAAAAACTAGTGAACTGCAAGAAACTGTTGGCGTTGTCCTGGTACTTTGAAGGGTTAGGACAAATTAAAATATCTGTATCCTGTTCATTTAAACAAATCCAAAATTAGGTTTAAGCTTTTGCCATTTCTGGGAAAAATAAAAACTACTTGCATCCAAATTTGAGGTACAATGTGCATAGTAGTAAAAAACACACACAAAAAACTAGGTTATTTTCTATTTATGTCTCACTGCGTTTCCTCAGAGACTTTCTGTATTCCAGCTTTATATGGTGCAGAGTATTGTTAAAGTAGGTCTTCTAATTAGCACTGTTTCAGAATAACTTGCATATTTTGCACAATGCTTTTTGGATGCACAAAAACTTTGACTTTTATTCCAATTTGCTTCAAGCATGCTGAAACTTGTGCTCTTTTGTTAGGGTGTTAATGAGAACAAGTATTTGCCAGTAAGTTGAATGAACAAAGCGGCTGAAAGACGGAGAAACTACGAGAATAATAATGAAAATTATCGTTGTGTTTTCAAGACTATTTTAGAGCCCATGTGACAGTCACATTCAGCCGGTGCTATGCTTGGTTCAGACTGCTTAGCTCACTTCTGTGGCAGACCTTGTTAACAGATGTTCACAGCAGTCTTTTCTTCTGCTGTATTTATGGCTGGTGCTGGTGCTGGATGTGTCTGACAGAACCAACATGACTGGAGCTCACTCTGGTGAGTTTTCAGCAGTTGTCAGTGAAACATGTCTCTGTCCTTAGGTGATGGATCCCGAACGACAGAAACGAAGAGAGGAGATCCAGAAGGCCACGAGCTTTATCCAGTAAGTGAACAGAAAGATCTAAATGACACTTCAGTTGCATGAACTTTTTTATAACTTTTTCTGTTCACCAGGTCGTCGTTACCTTTCCCAGAGCCGGACAGTTATGAGGTAAGCATTTAGCATTTGTCTCACTTTTTTCCACTTAAAAAATGTATTGTGCACAATTTACATCCACCTTGCGTCAAGAGCAACAACCCAGTTTGTTCCACTAAAACTATCTTCTCAATAGATGTTGAATTTCCCTCTGGGATTAATAAAGTATTATTGAATTGAATAACAGGCGGCACACAGCCTGTAGACACTCACGTGTCTGGCACCGCCTACTTTGAATGATGGTTCTTTTCCTTTGGAGTCAATCGACGCGCCAGCATCATCTACAGTGCTTTGTGAAAGTATTTGGCCCCTTGAACTTTTCAACCTTTTGCCACATTTCAGGCTTCAAACATAAAAATATAAAATTTAAATTTTTTGTGAAGAATCAACAACAAGTGAGACACAGTCGTGAAGTGGAATGAAATTTATTGGATGTGTCAAACTTTTTTAACAAATAAAAAACTGAAAAGTGGGGCGTGCAATATTATTGGGCCCCCTTTGCGTTAATACTTTGTAGCTCCGCCTCTTGCTGCAGTTCCAGCTGCAGTTCCAGCTGCAAGTCTCTTGGGGTTTGTCTCCATCAGGTTTGAACATGGAGACACTGAAGTTCTGCCCATTCTTCCTGCAGAACAGCTCGAGCTCAGTGAGGTTGGATGGAGAGCGTTTGTGAACAGCAGTCTTCAGCTCTTTCCACAGATTCTGGATTGGATTCAGGTCTGGACTTTGACTTGGCCATTCCAACACCTGGATACGTTTATTTGTGAACCATTCCATTGTAGATGTGTCTTTATGTTTTGGATCATTGTCTTGTTGGAAGATAAATCTCCGTCCCAGTCTCAGGTCTCTTGCAGACTCAAACTGGTTTTCTTCCAGAATGGTCCTGTATTTGGCTCCATCCATCTTCCATCAATTCTGACCATCTTCCCTGTCCCTGCTGACGAAAAGCAAGCCCAAACCATGATGCTGCCACCACCATGTTTGACAGTGGGGATGGTGTGTTCAGGGTGATGAGCTGTGTTGCTTTTACTCCAAACATATCGTTTTGCATTGTGGCCAAACAGTTGGATTTTGGTTTCATGTGACCAGAGCACCTTCTTCCACATGTTTGGTGTCTCCCAGGTGACAAACTTTAAACAACACTTTTTATGGATATCTTTGAGAAATGGCTTTCTTCTTGCCACTCTTCCATAAAGGCCAGATTTGTGCAGTGTACGACTGATTGTTGTCCTATGGACAGACTCTCCCACCTCAGCTGTAGATCTCTGCAGTTCATCCAGAGTGATCATGGGCCTCTTGGCTGCATCTCTGATCAGACTTCTCCTTGTTCCAGATGAAAGTTTAGAGGGACGGCCGGGTCTTGGTAGATTTGCAGTGGTCTCATACTCCTTCCATTTCAATGTGATTGCTTGCACAGTGCTCCTTGGGATGTTTAAAGCTTGGGAAATCTTTTTGTATCCAAATCCGGCTTTAAACTTCTCCACAACAGTATCTCGGAGCTGCCTGGTGTGTTCCTTGGTCTTCATGATGCTCTCTGAGCTTTGAACAGAACCCTGAGACTATCACAGAGCAGGTGCATTTATACAGAGACTTGATTACACACAGGTGGATTCTATTGATCATCATCAGTCATTTGGGACAACACTGGATCATTCATAGATCCTCACTGAACTTCTGGACTGAGTTTGCTGCTCTGAAAGTAAAGGGGCCCAATAATATTGCACGCCCCACTTTTCAGTTTTTTATTTGTTAAAAAAGTTTGACACATCCAATAAATTTCATTCCACTTCACGATTGTGTCCCACTTGTTGTTGATTCTTCACAAAAAAATTAAAATTTTATATTGTTATGTTTGAAGCCTGAAATGTGGCAAAAGGTTGAAAAGTTCAAGGGGGATGAATACTTTCACAAGACACTGTAAGTGATTTCAGTCGCTCTAGAGGGGAAGACTAAGCCTCTTAGAGACTCCGTTTTAATTTGTCAAAAGTACAGACTTCAAACTACACAAGTTTTCAAATCGTGTTGATAGTCCAAGTAAAACCAGAGTTTAATCCACGCCACGTCTTTTGTGAAAACCATCGTCATATCTAAAACGTGAGCGAGAGGCTGCAGCAAAGACGGGCAGTTTCAGGGACAAAACCCACTCATCACCCGCCACTTTCACTTCTCACCCCCACCGAACCAGTAAACAACCATCTCCCTCCTTTCTGTTGGAGGCTCAAAGTTATTTGTCAAGCACCAAAAAAAATTATAGGAAGAAGAAAAAGACACAAAAGTTGAATGGAGTTTGTTGCGATAAAGTCACAGCGAGAGCGGGAGTGAGTCATGAGGTTTGAGAGATTTGTGATATTTAGCGTGTTTGGGTTTTGTAGTTCAGATGTAGTTTAGTGTGTTTGGTGTGTAGTTTTATCAGTTTGTGTGTTTGAATCAAAGCAATGAGACTGTTTTTGAACGCGAGGAGGAGCTGCAGACCCAGAGGACTGAACCACAGTCAGAACCTCTCGGACAGAGGAGAGGATCATGATTTGTTTTAGAAGAGTAGACCGAGCCTCACTAGTAGGTCTGACTCTGCAGAATCCCTCTGACTGGACCAACAGAACCAGGCATCACTTCTGAACTCTGGAGAACAGAGGAGGATGTGGACCAGAGGGCACTAATGGAGGAAATTATACTTTTTTAAAATTTACCGTAAAATAAATATTTTGTCAATTAGAAAAACTTGTGAAGAGTTTTTAAACAAAAAAAACAAACCGTTAAAAAAGAGTAATTTAAATAGATATTTCAGGCTGAGACAGCTTTAAAAAGACTCTAGGTTTTTGTGGGAAAATATTTACAAACAGTATTTTGAATCAGTTAGAAAAGGTGGTTGATTTCCTCCTGGGGAACATGAATAGTATAAAGTTAAAGGATTAAAACCACCCATCCATCCATTTTCTTTACCCGTTTATTCCATTTTGGGTCACGGGGGTCGCTGGTGCCCATGTCCATCAATCACTGTGCGAGGGGCGGGGTACACCCTGGACAGGTCGCAAGTCCATCACAGGGCCACATAGAGACAAACGAGACAAACAACCATTCACTCTCTCACTCTCACCTAGGGACAATTTAGAGTCACCAGTCAGTCTAACATGCATGTTTTTGGTCTGTGGGAGGAAACTGGAGTACCCGGAGAAAACCCACGCATGCACGGAGAGAACATGCAAACTCCACCCAGAAAGGCCCCTGTACCGGGGTTTGAACCAGGAACCTGCTCGCTGAGAGTCAGCAGCTCTACCAGTTGCGCCACCGCACCACCGGCCCGCCTCGCCCGCCCCGTCGGGGAGGTGGAGCAAGAGCGCGCGCGGTAGGACCCGAAAGATGGTGAACTATGCCTGGGCAGGGCGAAGCCAGAGGAAACTCTAGTGGAGGCCCGCAGCGGTCCTGACGTGCAAATCGGTCGTCCGACCTGGGTATAGGGGCGAAAGACTAATCGAACCATCTAGTAGCTGGTTCCCTCTGAAGTTCCCCCAGGATAGCTGGCGCTCGGAGCCTCGCAGTTTTATCCGGTAAAGCGAATGACTAGAGGTCTTGGGACCGAAACGGTCTCAACCTATTCTCAAACTTTAAATGGGTAAGAAGCCCGGCTCGCTGGCTTGGAGCCGGGCGTGGAATGCGAGCCGCCAGGTGGGCCACTTTTGGTAAGCAGAACTGGCGCTGCGGGATGATTCAAATGCACAAAATATGATGCTTTTGATGTGGATCAGATTTCATGATATTGTCTGTAGTTAGAGAAAACAGTGTGATGTTTCTGAGCTGCATTCATTCATCTGGGACTGCTGCAATAAGAAAAAAGATAAATTCATTGTGAAATAATTCTTTATTAGATTCTTGAACATGTACGTTATCTGGCTCTACAAATTGATTGACAGCTGCTGCTGATTAGGACTTCATAACTCTTTTCATGCACAGTTCTGCAGGTTCATTTTAAACAGTCTGTGTTCACCAACATGTTCAACGCACACAACATGTCTGTGTTGATGTTGAGAAATGACTCCAGCCTCCCACTCACAAGTTGTCGAGACCGTTGCTAAAACATTGTAACTCACTAGACGTCAGACTGGTCTTCCTTTCTTTAACTTTGCTTTGTGTCCATCTCGTGTAACTCACTCACTGTTTGCTTATGTCAACCTTTCTCACTTGACGTTCAACCCCATTATTTATTTTGTTTCTGCACTTGTTTTCATGTTCTTTCAGGCATTTCTGACGCAGTTAGTGTGCAACTTGCTGGACGAGGGTAATTCTTGTTTCCGGGATGGAGACTGGCGTCAGGGAGCTCAGCAGTACGGAGAGGCAATCAGTGTAGCTCGCTATGCACAGGCCGAGGCCGTCATCATTCCCTACGAGCTGCTGGAGAGCCTGTACGTGAACAGGGCTGCAGCCTTCTACCAGATGGTAAGAGACGTGGATTTAGTTGACAAACATGTTTCTGTTGATCAAAGATTGTAGAGGTTGGGCGTCTGGTTTTAGCAATCTGAGTCATTACAGTCGAACAAGGTCAAGTCAGCTCCTCTGGACGGATTCTTCTTTGTAATGTTTCATCTTTTATCCAAAAGTCTTCTTCAGTGTGAGGAGCTGCAACAAACTCAGTCTTATAAATAGCATCTTCTCATGGTGGATCAACCAGTTTGTTGATGACATCCAGAACCAGCTGTTCACACGATAAAGGAGCATCATCCTAACGATGGATCGTTAGTGCCCTGATGGCCACTTGCTGTTCAGAGGGCTGAGTGATACTAGCAATGACAACATGTAAGAGGGGGACAGTTGGACACGGAGACCCCCGGTATGCAAAATCTGCAATGTGGTTCAGTTGTGTGCACAAAACTCAACCTGTCTGGAAACTGTAATCTGACTTAAAAATAGATACTGCAGTTATTTTTTGTTGAGTTTTACAAGAACGACTTCCTGTCTAAGATTAGCTGTTGATTTCCAGTGACACATTCAGTAACATTGGGACGTTTTTCCTAGAGAAAATGTTTTTACTCTAAACATTGTGAGCAGACAGGTATGAAACATATATATTTGATATCCTGAGGCTCATAATCCAGATAGTTACATCTAACAAGGTTGAGTCAGGTCGACGAAACACGAAACGTTTCACAAAGAAGGATCCATCCAAACACTAAAGCTGACTAACCGTCTACCCAGAGAAATGTAGCATGCTCTCCTCGTGCTGGCATGGGTTTTTCCTCCCACAGACCAAAAACAGTTAATTGATGACTGAATTGTCCCCAGATGTGACAGAGTGAATGGTTGTGTGTGATTTGTCTCTGTGGTTGTTTGGCGGACTGAGACCTGTTCCGGGTGTACCCACCTCTCACACAGTCACAGCTCTCAGTCCGTTCAGACGTCACTTGGAGGGGGTGCAGAAACTCCAGCTCACTCGTTTACACGTCACTTTAGCAGACAGAACTGACTTCTGTTCATTTAACAATCGTTTATGAGACCTTGTTTAAACTGACACCAATATTTCTGCACAAACATCAACGTTAACAAAGGAGGTAAAGTGACGCACTGAACTAACTTCAAAGTTGCCCCTTGAGGTCCTGGAGGAGGTCCTGGAGGAGTGCTGCAGGGCAGCGGTGCTGCCTTCACAGTTTGTCGTCTTCCCTCTTTAAGATCTCTTGATTCTCTTTCCTTCTAGTCCTCTCTCTTTTCCTCATGTTCTTTTCTGTTAAGACAGTGCAGTCTTGGCAAACGATAAAGATGATACTGCTCCAGATGTTCCGCTTGTGCTTTGCAGTAATAAAACAATATATATTATATTCACGTGGTTCCTTATGAGCTCTGTAAATGACCCCTCACGCAGGTTTGGTGCCTCTTGTGCGCAGCTCTGACAGAGGGCAGCATGTCAAACACATTTCTCCACCTCTACTTTATTTAGGGGCGTTTGTGACGCATTCCATCGACGGGAGCTCCGTTTTTTACATTTAAACACTCACCCTGGTCTGTACATTTCTTCAGGCTTTGCTTTGTGAGTTTCCCTGGTGGAGAAATGGGAACATCTAAATATTACCAGGCCTGATTTGTAATGTTCACAGTGTACCTATATTCTGGTTTGTCACTGCAGTTTCTGTCGAGAGCAACTGCTTTAAATTTGTTACAACTGCAGATAGTCGTGCTAAATGTTTAGTCCAAGCCACTGTTTGAAATTGCAGGCACCCCTTTTTGTTCACAGTGGGTTTGTGTGTTCATTATGTTCCCTCAGAGAGAGTATGAGCGGGGTGTTCAGGACTGTGAGAGTGCACTGTGCGTATCGGAGGGCAGCCGCAGGGCTTTGTACAGAAAAGCTCTCTGCCTTAGGGAGCTGGGACGACTCAGGGAGGGGTACGAGAGCGGAACAAAATGTCTCCTCGCTGCGCCACATGTAAGTTTTCACCATTTAAACAAATCCTCCCTCAGATTTTATAGTCATGTAAGTTCTTGAGTTAACAGTCGTATAAAATGGGCATAAACTGGAGTTAATTTATGTTGATGAGTAGTTACTGATCCATGTATAAATTTATCTGAGAGGGTGTCATGCTTGTCTCAGTGGTGGTTTGTGTTTGTAATTGGTCTTGCAGGATCAGCAGGTTATTGACCTAGCACAGGATCTGGCCAACAAACTGGGCCTGAAGGGTCGTAAAGCTTATGTCAGTCTGCAGACGGAGTCTGCGTCCACAGAAGGAGAGGGTCACGGGGAGACATCCCCACCCCCTGGAGAAGTAAATGCTGACACCCTTTTAGTGTCTCGTTGAGGAGTTAAACAATATAATGTGTGAACTGAAAGCTGTTGTTTTCTTTAGATGTCTTCCAATGGTTTGGAGTCTCTGGGGGACATGGGGTCAGGTATGTCCACTCTGTACCATGAAATGCTCTGTTCGCGTCCGTATTCCAACATTTTCGTTCTTATCTTTCATTCTGCTGCTTCAGGTGACCTGTCCAACGCGCAGTGCATCCCTGCTCCTCTGGCCACGCCCATCCCAGTCAGTGACGACCCAACAACCACTGTTGTGACCTCGTGCACTGAGCTGTCGGAGAGCCCCAGCAGCCAGGCTCTGCCCCCTATGCCGTACTCCGTCCCCGTGTCGGAGCACATGGAGGACTGCAGCAGTGTCATGAAGGACGAGCTGGACAGCATTTTGGAATGTATGCCAAAGAAAGTCAGTGAGGTAAGTAAGTTAAAGAGAAAACAGGATTTCTGTGTTTGGATTCATTATGGTTAAATGTGTGCTGTCCTCTCCAGAGTCCAGTTCAGGGAGCTATCCCCACCAACCTTCCCAATACTGCTGTAGGTCTCCGGCCTCCTTACTCGCCTAGACTTCCAGCCCCATCTTCTCAGCTTCCACCAGCCTTCTTCGGCTCCTCCATCAGTGAAATGCACCCTTTAGAGCCTTACACATCCCGGTGTGATCAGGGCTCCACCCAGGCGCAGGACGCACTGGGACGGTTTTCTTCAGAGACTCCAAGTGGAGAGGGAATGGGAGCTGCTCCTGGAGGGCTCGACTCTCTGTCCGAGTACACTCTCCCAGGTTAGTTATCTCTTATTTTCTTTATTGTGTCTGTAGGTTGTCATAACACATTGGATGATCTTAAATAGACAATGTTTTATTTTTTAGTTGGGGTTTATAAAAATTGATGCTAATAAATTCAATAATAAATTCAGCATGTCACATCATCTCATTAATTGAAAACACCTGACTAATTTCACCTTCAAATTAACTGATAGTCCTAGGGGTTCACAAACTTTTACCACTCACAAATATGTAACGTTGGATCATTTTCCTCAATAAATAAATGACCAGGTACGGTAGTCCCTCGCTACTTCGCGGTTTGGCTTTCGCAGACTCGCTCTATCGCGGTTTGTAGCCGTACAGTGCTGTACATAATTTTGTTTTTTTAAAAGCCACCATTTTGTAGTTTTCTTTCATTACGCCTACACTGTTTTGCCAGTCTAAAGAACTACGTTACCCAAAAGTCATCAGTGCACCTCCCTGAAGTCAACACTGCTTCCAGCTGCTGCTTTCTGCAAATGGAGGGAAAGTTTTGCAGCAAAGTCAGAAGTTCTGTCAGGATAAACTCACAGAACTGGCAGGTGTTGGTCAATAAAAATACCTTCTCCTTTTGGATCCTGTAGAACTTTATTCCACCATGCTCATCACAGCTCAACAACACTGACACCACAGAAGAAGAGTGTAAACCACATTCCCATGTGCTACTGGCATGACAGTGCCCCCTAGTGGATTGGCATGCAAACTAAACAAAACAAAGGAGTAACAAATCTCCCACTTTTCTTTAAACAAAAACAAATAATAATAATATTAAAAAAAAACAATGCTTGTATAAGACTCATGGTAAAGCACAGCCACTAAGGATTTTGTTAGAACAGTTTCAACATGAAAGAGTGTGAAACAACTGGTGAATTAATTTATTGAACAGTCCAACGTCCTTCATAAAGAGCCGTAAGTAGTGAGGTTGTAGATGCTCCTTTTTGTTAAACAGTCTGCGAGTTGGTCTTTTGTTTGAGACCACAACACTTGATGAACTTTCATAGTTTGAATCAGTTCTTTAATCGAACTGATTTCCAAGCGTAGCCTTTTCTCTGCAACAAACTTAGTTGACTGAAGTACAAGAGAGAAATTATCAGAGACACAGACTATGGGTGGAGGACAAGCAGTACTACCAGCATTGAGTTCAGAAAACAGTGTGGAAAGAAAAACGGCATTATCAATCCCTTCAGACATAGCTAGTGTTTCACCTGCAAGTGTGCTTCTAACAACTCTCTTAATTCTCTTTGACTGCCATGAAATGGGAGAGAACCACCCATTGTCACCCATTAAAACAATGAGGTGCCCACCCTGAGTGCCCCCATCTGAAAGATTTCCAAAAGATGCATCTGTGAGTGTAACCATCTTTAAGTTACTGTTTTCTTCCTGGTGTTGAAAACTCAGTTCAACTGACTTGGTCTTGAGTTTACACACAACTCTGTTAGCTTCACTGATGGTCTGTACTGTAGCCTGTTTGAGACTAGATGCTAAATTACTAGCATCAAACATGACATCAGGCCTGCTCTGTCTCGCCACCCACAGAAGTTGGCCTATCTTCGATCTGAGCTGCTCTCTCCTTTTCAGTGAGGGGCGAAGCTGACTCTGCTGCTCGTGAGGGCGAGAGGTGTAGGGGCTGCAGGAGCTGAATGTACGTGTCTTGGTGCATGTGTACCTTCTTACCCTCAGCAACAAGATCCACACCCACATAGGAAAAACTATTATGCGCTTCACGACCATCCATACACACATGTTCTCAGTTTCCAAAGCATGCCTGTGCTATTGGCCTCTGGGGGAGGTTTGATGAAAATGTCTCTGGTAGGGCTGCAACAACGAATCGATAAAAATCCATGATTAAAAGTGTTGGCAACAAATTTCGTTATCGATTCGTTGTGTCGCGCGATTATGCGTCTTTCACGGCGCTGCGGAGCCGTTTCGTTTTGTTCACGGGCAGTTCATTGTCAATGCTGACTGACTGAATAAAGTTTGAAAAAAAACCTCTGCAGCGCGAGTTGAACAGAGCGAGGGGGGAGGAGAGCAGAGGCTGTTTTCAAAGGAAATTAAGTCAATTTTACAAATGACCGACGCAGCGAAAACTGTTTGACCCAAGTCCTCCAAAGAGTGGGAGAACTTCACAAAGATAAAAACTGAGAAGCATGCAGCTTTGAAAATCACCGACACGACACAGGAGAACCACGGAGATGAATCGATTATTGAAATAATCGTTAGTTGCAGCCGTAGTCTCTGGACAGTCCCATTCCTTGTAAGAAGGCAGATTTAATGTCCATTGAGCCATTGTTTGACATATAACTGCTACCAGGAGTCTCAGTGACTCTGAAGCACAGGTTGGTGAGTCCTTTTGTAGATCAGAAACTTGTAGCTCCTCAAGTCCTCGTGCAACAAGCCTTGCTTTTGGTGCTAATCCATGTTCACTCTTTCAGAGTGCACACCCAACGAGTGGAGACACACCTTTGTCCTCAATTTCTTCAAACACTTGATTCTGTTTCCAGCTTTTTATTTCATTTTCCTTTGCTTCATCAAACGACATGTCCTTAATCACAAAAACATCCTCGTGTGTATCCGTTTCATGAACATTTGCCTGGACATGAAGATCCTCCAACTGTGACAGATCAGCTGATTCACTGTTGCCAGCCACTTCTACAGCTCAAGCAGCTCCAAGTTAAACCAGTTCTTGTATTTACCAGTTGCTTTGCCGGCACGTCCCAACACTTTTGCTTTTTGTGAGACACCTTCTGTATTTCTGAACGTCACAATTTGACCTGTCTTTATGATGGTGTTCTCAGTGTGCTGTCTCTCAGCCTCTGCATTTTCAGGAGCAGGCGAAGGATCATTCTCAGAATTTACTGCGTTAGTGTCTCCTACTTCCTCTTCATTGACGTCCACTGTATGTTGTCCTTGATTGTTCTCCTCACTGCAGGTAAGCTGAGGTTCTTCATGCTCCTGAGTAACTTTCCTTAATCTGAGCTGGTGCACTCTGACACAGGTGCCTCCATGTCTAACAAAACGACTGCACCATCTTGACCAATGACCACTCCTGGTCCTATTCCTCTTTTAGGAACAAATCATCTAGTTTAGCCAACAATGTGGTCATTCCAGTGTCTTTATTTAGATCGTCTACCAGAATTTCCATCGCCGTGCCTCGCACCCTTCCAGACAGCGCCAGGGCGACAGCAAGCGCTTGCTTTTTCTTCTCCAAATCTGTAACTCTCGTCCAAATGTTGACTTCATTCTTCCAACTTTCATAAGGCTTTCCTTCTTCAAACAGTGGTGGAACTCTGTAGTTGCTAACCATCCTCTGCTACCAATGTTGGTCAATAAAAATAAAAATAACTTTTCCTTTGGATCCAATAGAACTTTATTCCACCATGCTCATCACAGCTCAACAACACTGACACCACAGAAGAAGAGTGTAAACCACATTCCCATGCGCTACAGGCATGACAGTGCCCCCTAGCGGATTGGCATGCAAACTAAACAAAGGAGTAACAGCAGGAAGGTCACAAATACTTCTGAAGCTGAACTCAACCTTAAAGTTGTATCTTCACTGCTGAGTAGCTGGGCTGCAGCTCATCTGGACTCGGTGTGACCCAGATCCTGGGAGCTGCAGGGGACGGATGGCTGCAGGCTTCAGCCAGGTTCTGGTCGTGCAGTGCTAGTCTGGACTGGGCCAGAGGTGGTGGACTAAATCCTGGAGCAGCTGCATGTGCACATCAAGCTGGATGGAGCGGTGGGCTTCATCATGCTGCACCGGGACTTTTTCATCTATCGGGTCGGACAGAACCGAGCTACTGTTGTTTTGCAGAACCATCCATCCATCCATTATCTTTACCCGCTTCTTCCATTTTGGGTCACGGGGGTCGCCGGTGCCCATGTCCAGCAATCACTGTGCGAGGGGCGGGGTACACCCTGGACAGGTCTCCAGTCCATCACAGGGACACATAGAGACAAACAACCATTCACTCTCTCACTCACACCTAGGGACAATTTAGAGTTACCAATCAGTCTAACATGCATGTTTTTGGTCTGTGGGAGGAAACCAGAGCACCCGGAGAAAACCCACGCATGCACGGAGAGAACATGCAAACTCCACCCAGAAAGGCCCCTGGACCGGGGTTTGAACCAGGGACCTGCTCGCTGAGAGGCAGCAGCTCTACCAGTTGCGCCACCGTGCTGCCCCGTTTTGCAGAACCTTTGCAAATAAAATTTAGTAGCTATATACAAGTATGTTGTTAAAATTAGTTGGTTTAAGAGTTTTGAATAGGGGTGCACCGATTGCAGTTTTCTGGCCGATCACCAATTTCTAAAAAAATCTGAGCTGCCAATTCCAATTTAGTTTTATAAGCGACTCTGTCAGGTGTTATAAAGTCACAATGCACCTTCAGTTCTCCATCTTATTTTATTGAAAAACATTCCCTTGAACAATATCCTAGAAACAATACAAACGTGTTTAACTGGCCATGAGGTCGTGCTCTGAAATATAAATGAAGTTCAGACATTTGTTGTTAAAGGGGAGTGGTGGCGCAGAGGTTAGAGAAGGTGGGCCTGTGATCGGAAGATCGCCGGTTCAAGCCCCGGTACCGACAACATAAAAAATGTGGGTGGGGTAGGTGAAGCACCCACAGCTGCCCCCACCCTCATTCATCCCACTCTGTGCCCTTGAGCAAGGCCCTTAACCCCCACCATCTGCTCCTCCGGGTGTCCTAGATGCAGCTCTCTGCTCCACACAGAGGCTGTGGTAGCTCGGTGTCTGTGGTTGCATCAGGAAGGACATCAGGCGTAAAAATAACTGCCAAGTCTTCGTGCGACTTAGTTCACTGCAGCGACCCCTGAAGAAGGGAGCAGCGAAAGAAGAAGAAAAAGACAATTGTTGTTAAAACTAAAAAAAATTGGTAAAATCTGTTTCTCATGCAAGTATCAGCTTGTTGCCCAAGATTAAACAAATCGGGGTCGATATATCGGCCGGCTGATTTATCGGTGCACCCCTAGTTTTGAACATTGCAAGAGTGTGGGAAGGGTCTCTTAAAGTCGTAATATATACTATATATAAATACTAAAATAAACTACTACCACCACTTGTGTACATCATTTTGTTCCATCTCATGTACCATGAGAAGTAATGACAGTAAAGTTTACTTGAACTTGTACTACTATCCCTACTTTGTGGTTTTTCACTTATCACCAGCGGGCGTGGTCCCAACACCCGTGATAAACGAGGGACTACTGTTTAATATTTTGTCTCATTTGTTAAACTGGGTTCTCTTTATCTTCTTTTAGGACTTGTGTGAAAATCTGAATATGTATTAGGTCATATTGATGCAGAAATCTAGTAAATTGTAAAGGTGTCCTAACGTTTCAAGCACCACTGTAGATAACTTCTGTAATTAGCTTTTGTATGTGAATGCTTTTGTACAGTACAGACAACTTGTGTAGTGACATGGCACTGTGTAATTAAACTAAATTGAATCGAATAATCATTTTAAGGAAGAACTCCGTCTAGCAAATAAAAAAAATTGTTTTAAATTAATTTATACACGCAAGTAATTTCCTGTAATACAATTTATTAAAATTTATCTGACAAACCTTCAAAAAGTAAACTAAAGAAAAGTTGTTAACCCTGTCTCTTCCTTCAAAATGATGCTGGTCTGGATGGTACTTCATTAGAGAGCGCTATACTGTGGGCCGCTGTGGCTGAGTGGTTAGAGCAGTCGTCCTCCAGTGCAAGAGTTGGGGGTTCAAATCCACCAGCAGTCACATGCTGAAGTGTCCCTGGGCAAGACACTGAACCCCTCATAGCCTCTGATGTGTGCCCCATCAGTGTTTGAATGTGATAAATCACTGATTAGTCTCTTTAGAATGATTTGTTCAATTATCTTTGTAGAGATCTAGTATAGAGCTGTATGAATGGGTAAATGAAGCACAGATTGTTGTGAAGAGCTTTGAGGATCTGGATCAGATGGAAATGAGCTGTGTAAGTACAGTCCATTTACTTTTACTCAGGCACCTCTTTACGTGATGTAGTGAACTAGGCCTCTGACCTCAACCTGTCTCTGAAGACCTTCAGGGGACAGGAACTGTTATTTCATTGATCTTAATCCAGAAATACAAATGATCTCATCAAGAGACTATTTAACTGTATCCTGAATTAATCAATTGAAAGAACACTCTTCCTTTTTACATTATCAGTACTATTTTACAATATCTTGATAATCCAAAGTGTGTTTAGTTCATACCATTTCTAAATGTTGAAGTGAACCACTCATTTAAATCAACTGTGAAACAGTATTAATGATTTTTAAACCTCATTAAACTTAGAAATCAAGTTAAATGTCTATTTACAAAGTAATTGTGCATTTTGATCTTCTGTCTGAATGAGTGGATTTGATGTCGGTCAGTAGTCAGAAAGCAAGTTATGAGAACGAAGTGCCTTGTTTTAAAACTAGCAGACAGTAAATAACTTCAACTGGCACCTGCGTTTGTCCCACTTCGTCATAACATTTCTCCGTCCGTACTAACCGTTCGTAAACATTCCTGCTGTCTCGTGACTCCTGGTGACCCTCTTGACATCACTAGAACCACCCCCTGCTGGTTGTTTCAACCAATCAGGAAGTACCACGTAACAGGAAGTGTATACCCCTTTAAAAGGAACACTTCGTGGAACTATTCAGTTCGGTCCTGGAACTCAGTCGGAGCCTTAAGTCTTAAAGCTAAGTCTTCAGAACTTGGAGCGGATGGATGGGACCATGTGCCAAGTGGTCCCTCCATTTAGCGGAGTCACGGCTCACATCGCTGTACACTCAACCAGAGCAGTAAATGCTCCACTTCTAAGGAAGCTTATTCGGTGGAACTTAGAATATGCATTTATTCTAAAGATTCCCAGCTACTTTAACCTGAGACGCTGTAAAGGGAGAGTACTAATGGACTTCTGTTCCGGAGTGGAGGTATCCCCCATCTAAGGTAACAAAGTCGCTGCACGTCCTGAAGTGTACTGGAAAGCTGAGCGGGGTGTCAGAGGAAGGGTGCAAAGTTCTGGTTTCACACATAGCTTCCATCTAAACCTCCTTTTAAATCTATGTCTCCTCTTTAACTTTTCTATTCACCAGTAATCTAGATGCCTTCAGAGGTGAATCAGCCTCAATCAGTAATGTTCTGTTGTCTTGTTAGTAAAGCGTGCCAAATTTATAAAGAAGAAACGATGAGCAAATCAATGTGTACATGTTTTGATGTTAAATTTTGATTCTGTTAAATAAATGACCACATTTATTCTGATGGGTCAAAGATAAAATGGCGTCTCATGTCACTGATTAAACACTCCACTCAGTTATCTCGGTCACATGGCAGGAATTTAACTCGAAAAAGAAATAATCTGTTGTAATTAAACAATTAATATTCTTTGTGCTTGAACTAGCTTTAAGAATAATTAATTAGTAGTGTGTCCACAGCAAAGCTGTTCAGGCTCACTACAGTGAACAGCTTTGAGAAATGACCCGTATGAAGGGAACAGCTCTCAAATGTGTGGGGTGGGGCAAACGTGAGTAGACACTAGGTGTACAAAAAATGTCACAAATATATCTTTATATTCTGTAAAAATATATATTCATATTTTTTGTTTTGCTCTAATCTGTGTACTGAGAAAGCAACTTACATACATCTTCCTAAATATTTGAAAAATATATTTGGAAAAACATCACATGTCTTTTTTTCCAGAAAATATTGAGAAAACAAGTGTTTGTCCTTGATCGGGTTTTAAATTGTAATCCCTTGTGAGAATAGTTTAGATTCCTGAGCTCAAACGTCACCCAGTTCAGTGAGACGTTCGAAGGTCCAGTATAGGTTCTGGAGAGAGGCCAGTCAGGTGAATCTGAAGACGTGTTTTCTTAAGATGTTGATCATATTTTCATGTGTCTTGTGTTGAGACAAGTGTTCCATGACCCCTGACCTTACTGTGTCAGCTGGCCCACACTACAGCTTTTACCTTTAGATCTCATCATCCAACAGCCTCTTTGATACTTTTGAATTAGGGGTTAAATGACTACATCTTTTTAAGTCGACTTTAACATGATAAAAGTCGAGTCGACTCCGACTAGTCGATGACGTCATAGGAACTCACAACGCTATATCGTATTTGCAAAAAATTAAAACAAATTAGAAAAAAGTTATTTATTATTTACCAAAAAAAAAAAGAACAGCAAAACATTGGGCATGTATTTATGCTCTGCCATTTATCATTATGCAAATAAGTCAAAACTATTATCAAGCTGCAAAAATGCTGCTGTTTTTAGTTTAATTTTATTTAATCCACCACGTGGATTGGGTGGAATAGGGTTGGGAACAGCAGGGGGGGAGAGGGGAGACTAGTCGACTTGAACTATAAAAACTTGTGAGATGACATAGAATTGACTAGTCGACTGGTTGATTCAACCCCTATTTTGAATATCTATGATTTTGTCCTTTGGAGAAGAAACATGTTGCTTTACATGGCCCCGAGCACAAGACGGGTGAGTGAAGACCGTATCGTCTAAAATCAGTGTCCCCGTCTGTTTCTGTCGTCTTCAGGGGGACGAGTGTGTCACAGCTTCATCCCTGGAATGCGTAACCACAGTGCACACACCGTGAGTGAAATACAGCCTGAAAATATACTGTGTGTATTAGGGATGCACGATGTTGGATTTTTGGCCCATATCCGATATGTTAAAACTTATTTGGCTGAAAATAACCAATATTTTATATTTGTTCCTTTGTCAGAACATAGCATCTTATTTTGGCTTATTTGCTACAAAAGCTGTGCAACAGCTGTAAGATCTGGTGACGTATAACAGCCATATGATCTGCACAGCACTTTAACTTTTATTAAATGAAAAGTGTTAAATGTTGTTCATTAACATTAATCACCTGTGATGCTGTCTCACCTGTGGAGGCTTGTTGCAGGTTCCTATAGCTGCAGTGTGGATCCTCTGCACTCTGTGCATGAAGGACAGACTCTTCCAGTTCAAAGTTTTGTGTATCCATGGTGCTGTGAGACTGATCATGCTAACGGGGCTAACACCTCGTCCAAATGTCCAAATGGTAAAACTCACCCAAGTGCTATCAGCTGTTAGCTTCCCAGTGACGCCAGAAATGACGGCTTGTAACTCCAGTAAGGTTACGTTGGAAAAATATCTCAGACTGGGGACCATGTAGAGAACGTGGTCCATAAATCTTCAGAATCCAACATCCTCACCAACGAGAAAAGAAACTTCCACACCGCCGACATTTTGAACTTTCCTGTCCGCCGTGAGATCAGGTAGGTGCACGTGACGTCATCGTGTTGTGCTGGTGCTGCAGACGTCCTCGTCACTGGGTTGTTCTAAACAAAAACATCGTCTTTTATATCGGGGAGTTATTTTGATGGAATGCCTGATGTCCGATATTGAAATTTAACGCTAATATCGGCTGATAGATAACTATTACTAATTAGATAGAGAACTTTACTAATTGTCTTTTATGTGAATGTTCCTGTAAAGTGCCCTGAGACAACTTTGTTGTGATTTGACGCTTTATAAATAAACTGAATTGAATTGAATCGATACAATACCATGCCGATAATATCGTGCATCCCTGGTATATGTTTTTCCATTTGATGAAAAAATAAAAGATGGTTTTGATTGTCCACATTTTATGTGAAATTTCTTATTTTGAATTTAATAATAATGATTTTCTTTTTCGTGTCCTGTCTTCTTCAGAATGGACCAGCAGGAAGCAATCTCTCTGTTCTCTCTAGGAACCCTCTGGTAGCCACTCATGAGTTTCGCCAGGCTTGTCATGCCTGTTACAGCCGAATAGGTAGGAAAAGTGAACGTTTAGCTGGCCTTCTGTTTTTAACATTCACAATTTGATGTTGTCCTCTGGATATTCCTGATGTTTCACACGTGGTCAGCAGACCATGTGTGTTTATGTGAAATATCCAGAATAGGGGCACAAAGAGGATTTTTCATATCTTTATAGAGTAGAAGGAGACATCGAAGAGGAATTCTTTAACCCTTGAACAAACTGGATTCCAAAAAAGTTGGGACACTAAACAAATTGTGAATAAAAACTGAATGCAATGATGTGGAGGTGCCAACATCTAATATTTTATTCAGAATAGAACACAAATCACAGATTAAAAGTTTAAACTGAGAGAATGTTTCATTTTAAGGGAAAAATCTGTTGTTTCCAAATTTCATGGTGTCAACAAATCCCAAAAAAGTTGGGACAAGTCCATTTTTCCCACTGTGTGGCATCCCCCCTTCTTCTTACAACACTCAACAGACGTCTGGGGACAGAGGAGACCAGTTTCTCCAGTTTAGAAATAGGAATGCTCTCCCATTCATGTCTAATACAGGCCTCTAACTGTTCAATCGTCTTGGGCCTTCTTTGTCGCACCTTCCTCTTTATGATGCACCAAATGTTCTCTATAGGTGAAAGATCTGGACTGCAGGCTGGCCATGTCAGTACCCGGATCCTTCTCCTACGTAGCCATGATGTTGTGATTGCTGCAGAATGTGGTCTGGCATTATGGTGTTGAAAAATGCAGGGTCTTCCCTGAAAGAGATGACGTCTAGATGGGAGCATATGTTGTTCTAGAACCTGAACATAGTTCTCTGCATTAATGGTGCCTTTCCAGACATGCAAGCTGCCCATGCCACAAGCGCTCATGCAACCCCATACCATCAGTGATGCAGGCTTCTGAACAGAGCGTTGATAACAACTTGGGCTATCCTTGTCCTCTCTGGTCCGGATGACATGGCGTCACAGTGTTCCATAAAGAACTTCAAATCGTGACTTACCTGACCACAGAACAGTCTTCCATTTTGCCACACTCCATTTTAAATGACCCCTGGCCCAGTGCAAACGTCTGAGCTTGTGGAGCTTGCTTAGAAATGGCTTCTTTGCACTGTAGAGTTTCAGCTGGCAACGGCGGATGGCACGGTGGATTGTGTTCACTGACAATGCTTTCTGGAAGTATTCCTGAGCCCATTCTGTTATTTCCTCGACAGTGGCATTCCTGTTTGAGGTGCAGTGACGTTTAAGGGCCCGGAGATCACGAGCATCCAGTAGAGTTTTACGGCCTTGACCCTTACGCACAGCGATTGTTCCAGATTCTCTGAATCTTTTGATGATGTTATGCACGGTTGATGATGATAACTTAAAAGTCTTTGCTATTTTACGCTGGGTAACACCATTCTGGTAATGCTGCACTATCTTTCTGCGCAACACTGGTGGAATTGGTGATCCTCTTACCATCTTGGCTTCTGAGAGACACTGACACTCTGAGAAGCTCTTTTTATACCCAATCATGTTGTCAATTGACCTAATTAGTGTTAATTGGTCTTCCAGCTGTTCGTTATATGCTCAATTTCCTTTTTCCAGCCACTTATTGCTTCTTGTCCCAACTTTTTTGGGATTTGTTGACACTGTGAAATTTTGAATCAAAATATTTTTTCCTTTAAAATGTTACATTTACTCAGAATAAACTTTTGATCTGTCATCTATGTTATATTACGAATAAAATATTGACATTTGCCATCTCCACATCATTGCATTCAGTTTTTATTCACAATTTGTTTAGTGTCCCAACTTTTTTGGAATCCGGTTTGTATAACGACAAACCAGTGGGGAGCGTACAGGTTCAAAACACAGTTCATCTGGTGTTGAATGCTACTGAATAGTAGTGAGTTTTTAAACGGGATTTGAAAACCGAGAGGGAGGGGGCCTGTCTGACAAGTAGAGGTAATTAGGTAACTCGTTCCAAAGTCCTGGTCCTGCTACAGAGAAGGCCCTATCACCTCTGCGCTTAAGACAAGTTCTTGGAACTGTGAGGAGCAACTGGTCCGCTGACCTCAGGGAACGTGGTGTGACATACAGCTGTAGCAGATCAGAGAGATGGGGGGGAGCGAAACTGTTCAGTGATTTGTAGACATACCTGAGTATTTTGAACTGGATTCGAAGGTGAACCGGTAGCCAGTACAGTGAGGCCAAAACTGGTGTAATGTGCTCTCTTTTGCCTGTACTGGTTAAAAATCGGGCTGCTGCATTCTGGACCAGTTGTAGTCGTGCTATGGTGCTTTGACTTATATCTAACAGGAGTGAATTGCAGTAATCAAGCCTAGATGTTATGAATGCATGTATTACTGTCTCCAGGTTATTTTTGGACAATATGGGCTTCAGTTTAGACAGCCGCCTCAGTTGGAAGAAACATGATTTAACAATCATGTTTACATGATTGTTAAGTTTAAGGGAAGGGTCCATTATCACACCCAGATTAGTGATTCTTTGTTTTTCTGACAGGGATAGAGTGGAGAGGTTGATGCAGTGGTTTGTGATCGTGTCGTTGGGAGGAAACAACATGACTTCAGACTTCTTTTCATTGAAACTTAAGAAGTTTAAAGCCATCCAGTCCCTGATGTCAGCCAGGCAGTCGAGCAGAGGTTGAATAGAGCATGTGCCATTGTGTCTTAGGGGGAAGTAAATTTGACAGTCATCAGCCTAGAAGTGAAAGGGTATGTTGTGTTTCCGGAAAATAGCACCAAGTGGCAGCAGGTATAAAGAGAATAGGAGGGGACCCAGGATGGACCCCTGCGGAACCCCCCATTTAAGCTCTGCTGCTGCAGAACTAAAATTTTTGATGGAGACACAAAAGGATCTGTCAGTGAGGTAAGATCTGAACCAATTGAGGCTGATCCTGTGATGCCCACCCACTGCTCCAACCTAGCAATGAGGATCTCATGGTCGATGGTGTCAAAGGCGGCTGTGAGGTCCAATAGGACAAGCAGCACAGAATTACCAGTATCTGTAGATAAGATTTCATTAAAGACGTTCAATAGGGCCGTTTCAGTGCTGTGGAGAGGTTTAAAGCCAGATTGGAATAGCTCTAAGATGGCGTGATCCTCCAGGAATCACTTCAACTGGGACTCAACTATTTTCTCCAGTGGTTTAGAAACAAATGGGAGTTTGGAGACAGGCCGGTAGTTGGATACGACTGAGGGGTCAAGGTTTGGTTTTTTTCAGGAGAGGCTGGACAGCAGCATGCTTAAAGGTTTTTGGCACCACGCCAGTGGATAAACTACTGTTTACTATGGCAAGAATGGACGGACCTAGAGTTGGAAAAACCTCCTTTAGTAGTCAAGGGGGGACCACATCAAAGGGGGAACCAGAAGGTTTCAAGCTGCACATGACCTGCTCTAGAGAAGATAGAGTGATGGGTTCAAAATGGTCAAAAGGAGCTACAGATTGAGGTGGGATGGATGGGTCATGAGTTGGAGGGGAAATGAGAGCCCTGGTGGTCGCAATTTTTTCCAAAAAGAAATGTAAGACGTTCTCGCACAGCTCAGTCGGGGCTTCCAAAGGTGATGGTTCAGTGAGGTGGAGAACAGAGTTTAGGGTGGAGAAGAGGACACGTGTGTTGCGAGAGTTTGAGGTAATTATATCAAAAAAGAATTTGGATTTAGCAGCTTTCACTGCTTTCTGATAACGGCGCCAACTCTCTTTAAGTATTTGGAAAGAGACCTGCAGCCTGTCTTTCCTCCACTTTCTTTCCGCCCTCCTTCATTGCTGCCTAACGGCCTTGGTGACGTCACTCAGCCAAGGTTCTGCTCTGAGTTTTGATTTTTTTGGTTTTAACAGGTGCAACATGATCCAGAGTCTTTAAGCAGACAGAGTTGAACTGGGATGTCAGTTCCTCAGTGGTGGAGAGAAACACCGGGGGCTGAATTATCATTTCAGAGTTATAAACATCTGTGAAACGTGTGGCAGTGAAATGGTTAATGGCCCGGCTACTACGTGCAGGAACGCACGGCTTAGGAATTAGATGGGGGAGGGTGAACTCAAACTGGACTGGAATGTGGTCTGAAAAAACATTATCACCAATAATAAGATTACTAACAGTCACATCACGTTTTAAAACAAGGTCCAGTGTATGTCCGCGCTCTTGGGTGGGACCGTTTACATGCTGAGTTAAATTAAATGAGTCCAATAAAGCTAAAAAGTCCTTAACCAAGGGCTTCTCAGGACAGCACACATGCAAATTAAAGTCCCCAATAATGAAAACATGCTCATATTTTGGTGTGATTTCAGCCAAGATGTCAGAAAACTCATTTATGAAATCCTTAGATCGAGGTGGGCGGTAGACGAGTGCAAATAAAGTCTGAGGTGAATGTCCGAGTTCAAAAACGCTCAGCTCAAAACTGGCGCGGGAAACTGGGATGGGCAGTTGTTTACAGTCAAAAGTTGATTTGAATATTGTTAATAATCCACCACCGCGCCGGCCTGATGGCCGCGGTGCGTTAAAATACAGACAGTTCGGTGGCAATAATTCCGTCAAGGCGCTGGACTCAACCGGAGACATCCAAGTCTCTGTGATACAGAGAAAGTCCAGATCATGCTCTTGAAAGTAGTCCCTGAGGATAAAAGTTTTGTTGGTAACAGATCTTGCGTTGACCAAACACATCCGGATACTGTTCAACGTGAACCCAGCAGCGGTGGAGGGAGCACGCGCCAGTGGCTGCAGGTTTTCAATAACAGCCTCTCCGGGTCGGTCCACGCGTCGCACCGGCCGACAACTCCCGTTGTTTACCTGGTCCAGGCTCGCGGGAAGCTGGCGATGGAAACCATGACCACCAGCTGAAGAGGAAGATGCAGCGCGCAGAGCTTTAAGCTTTACCAGCACGTTTTCCCCGGTGTCTGAAGTGATGTCTCTGGGCAGGGAGGTGAGGAGCGCAGCGGAGATAAACAGGCACGTTTGCCAGCAGTGGGGGGTGGGGGGGGTGGGGGGGGGTGTTTCCAGCGGTACGCTTCTAATGATCCTGAACTCCTTGTTGCCTCTGATGTGTGTCCCATCGATGTATGAATGTGATAAAGCTCTGATTAGTTTCTAGATTATGTTGTAAAGAGCTTTGAGTATCTTGAAATAAGATAGAAAGGTGCTATATAAGTACAGTCCATTTACCATTTACCTTCTTTATTCTACAGGAATGTTTTGACAGTAAGCCTCGCATCATCAGCAAACGCAGCAAAGAAAATTTAGCTGTCTGCTCCAACCTCACCGCACGGCACCCATTTGATGATAACAAGTGAGTGCAGGAAAGTCTCTGCGTGTATAAAACCATCATTTTGGTGTGGTAAATTGAGTACTATCTGAAATGTTATGCCATTTTTAAGCTGCCAGTCTGGCAAAAGACAAGCAGCCTTTATTATAAAGTTAGATGGAAAAAAAATCTATAAAACTTTAGCACAAAATGTTCCAGTATTTGAAGACGACTAACAAGCATTTCACATACAGTGGTGCTTGAAAGTTTGTGAAGTCTTTATATGAACACATGCATCAAGTTGGAAATGCGTCTGCCTCAGAAGTGCGGCGCCAGCAGATCTGCACCACCACCACGTTCAGTGACAGCAGCAGCTGCACACACTCAGTCACTCCTCTTTGGTTTGATACATCTGAATTGTCTTTTGTTGCATTATTCACTTTTCACTTTTTGTCTCCACACCAACTTTCACTATAAAAGCTGCACACTTTCATACATGAGGCTCCTGAACTCTTGCTTTAACACGAACTCTTGTCTGTAGGTGCCTAGTCCATGTGGTGAGGTCAGCTAATGTGCGTTACAGTAAGGTACGACCCCTGCACCCCCTCTGCCAGTTTGACATTTGTCGTCATGAAGTTCGCTATGGCTGCCAGCGTGAGGACAGCTGCTCCTTTGCTCACTCGGTCATAGAGCTCAAATGTTGGGTTCTGCAGCAGGATACTGGTACGTACATCACCACCACAGCTAGATTTCTCACTCACTGCCATGAAAGGTGTTCAGCAAGTGTGTGAGTGTGTGTGTTGTCTGTTTTTGTTTTTTGTTTTCCAGTAGGTCATGACCCAGAGGAAAAAATGTCTATTCAGCCAGTGTTACAGATTCAGATCTAAAGTTTGATGTGGTAGTAGAGTCATTCACAACACAAAGGTCTTGTGCTAAATAGGAGTGCATCAATAAATAAATTTCCTTAATTTGGGGAAATTGTCTGATACTTGCATGAGAAACCAATTTTATTTTAGTTTTAACAACAGCTTTCTTAACTTCATTTATATTTCAGAAACACGACCTCATGGCCAGTTAAAACAAGTTTGTATTGTTTCTAGGATGTTGTTCAAGGGAATGTTTTTTAATAAAATAAGATGGAGAATGGACGGTGCATTGTGACTTTATAACACCTGACAGTGTCGCTTATAAAACAAAATCTGAATCGGCAGGTCAGACTTTTTAGAAATCGTGATCGGCCAGAAAACTAATCAGTGCACCTCTAGTGCTAAATGGTTACGGCAAGACCTTGCAATATTTCTTTGTTATTTTCAGGAGTTTACCAGAATGGCTGTAACTCCATCATTTCTCAGTACAAGATGATTTAACCAAAACTCTGCCATTAAATGCCAGGGGTCTGCAACCTGCAACTGTGGGGCCACAAGCTGCTCTTTGATCCCCCTCCTTTGACCAAAACTAACCTGAAATGTAATCACTTGACACACATTTATGCCATTTCACTTCAAAGTGGGACGCCTAATGAATTGTTCCTGAAATACAAGGACTCGTCTAGGACTGCAAAGTTCAGTGTTTTAATTCTTATCAAAATTTGTATAAGCAGTAATATTTATTTTTGTTCCTTACATGACTATGGTCTTTACTTTTGTCCTAAAGTGTTAAAAAAAAAAGTCAGATGTTAAAATTCATTTTTTATTACTGGCTGGGGGGAAAAAAAACCTTTAACAAACTAGCAGTGGCCCATGGGCCACCAGTTGATAACCACAGTTGTAGCTGTAGTTGGACACATTTTATTTAGTGAGCAAAGGGGCAGAAATGACTCAAGGTTGCAGACCCCCTGCACTAGACAATGTGCATTCAGTTCATTTATGTAGCACCAAATCACAACAAAGTTGTCTCAGGGACTTTACAGGAACATTCACATAAAAGACAATTAGTAAAGTTCTCTATCTAAGGAATCCAGCAGACAAGTTGAATCTTGGCTTTGTTGCAGTCTCCCATCCTGAGCAAGCACAGTGGAGACAGTGGAAAGAAAAACTCCCTTTAACAGGAAGAAACCTCCAGCAGAACCAGCTCAGGACAAGAGACCATCTGCTCTGACCGGCTGGTTGAGAGGACAGGGAGGAGAAGTCCAGATGTTGGTGCAGGTTAGGGCTTTAACAGACTTACTCGAGTAATCTACACATCGATTCCTAGGACACCTATCAAGGTTTTTAATTTCATGTCGTGTATTCGTGGTGACATCATTACGCCACAGTTACGTCATCGTGTCACGTGATCTGCACCGGGCGCGGGTTACAAAATGGATCCCTCCGAGCAGACGGATGGAGCAGAGCAGGTCCAGTCTTGACAAACAGGTAGAGCTGCATCAGTAGTGTGGAAATATTTCACTAAAGATGAATCTTCTGGTTCAACTACCGTAAGGAAACAGAACATGAATCAACTTCCTGACTGTTTGGAGCTCGTTGCGAACCGGTGTTGCACCATATTCTGTGACCACCGTATATTGTGACCGTAGGGGGCGGTGTTGCATGCACTGTTGCAGGTCACAGAATATGGTGCAACACCGGGTCCAATCGACCAAACCAGAACCAGCTTCCTCTGACCTTGTTTCACAAATTAAAAGCAAAATATATTAATCTCTAAACCTATAAAAAAATCTATAAACATATTAATCTCTAAAACTAAACCTATTGAGCACCACAGCTGGTGGTGGTGCGGGGCGGTCCCCCCCCCCCCCCCCCAAACACTGCTTTTAGTTTCATTTTTGACGTGCTGCATGTTTCTTCACGTTTGCAGCTTAATAATAAAAACTAATAGTTTAGTTTTTCCTGTGACTTATTTGCAGTATGATAAATGGGAGGAGCATAATATACACTCCCAATGTTTTGTTGGTCTTTGTTTTGTAAATGATGACCTTTTTTGCAGTTTTATTTATTTATTTATTTTTGTATCTAGATCCTATGATGTCATCAAGTACTCGAGTTCTACTCGAGTTTTATTATGTTAAAAATTATGTAGTTGTTCAACCCCTAGAGCAGGTGTACCTGAAAGACAAAACACATGTCAAGGATAGAAAAAAAATGACCAATACAAAACATCCCTTAAAAATGTCAGGTATTTCATTTTGTTATATTTTTAAAAATCCAATAAAAACTTATTTCTTTCAGGAATTACCCATGAAGAAATGGTGCAGGAATCCAAAAGGCACTGGCAAAGGCTAGAGCAGAATGCACAAAAGCAGCAAAAGGTAAGGCTGTGATGGATCCTTCAGGAATCTAACAAAGTTAAATCTGGTCCTCTGGACATTAAAAAAACAAAACAACAAAAAAGTGTAGAAACGTTTCGTCTCTCATCCGAGAGACTTCCTCAGTCTGAGGTGCTGTATTCAGCTCAGTCTCTTAAATAACACCTTCTCAGAGTGGATCAACCAGTTTTGTTGCTGACAACCAGAACCAGCTGATCACATGCTCAAGAAGGACCATCAGCCTAACAATGGATCATTAGCACCTGATGGCTGTTTACTGTTCACAGAGGGCTGTTATTGCTAGTATCACTCAACCCCCTGAGACCCCCTGGGATATCTGAGAGGATTAATGATGAACCTGGAGCCAAAAAGCAATTTATGGAAAAAGTAAAATAGATTTAAAGGTTCTATAACATAACTCCTCGTATCCTGATGCATGCTCAATGATCCAGGTAGAAAAATTTAAAAAAGTTAAATCTGGTCCTCTGGATGGGTTCAAAAATAAACTAGAAACATTTTGTCTTTCGTCCGAAAGACTTCTTCAGTCAGACTTCTTCAATGAAGAAGTCTGACTGAAGAAGTCTTTGTGGCTACTAGCACTGAACAATCAATTGCATTTGCAATAACATCCATCCATCCATTTTCTTTATCCGCTTATTCCACTTTGGGTCACGGGGGTCGCTGGTGCCCATGTCCAGCAATCACTGTGCGAGGGGCGGGGGACACCCTGGACATGTCTCCAGTCCATCACAGGGACACACAGAGACAAACGAGACAAACAACCATTCACTCTCTCACTCACACCTAGGGACAATTTTAGAGTTACCAATCAGTCTAACATGCATGTTTTTGGTCTGTGGGAGGAAACCGGAGTACCCGGAGAAAACCCACGCATGCACGGAGAGAACATGCAAACTCCACCCAGAAAGGCCCCTGGACCGGGGTTTGAACCAGGGACCTGCTCGCTGAGAGGCAGCAGCTCTACCAGTTGCGCCACCGTGCTGCCCTGTTATTGCCATTTGCAATAATGTCCCTAAATGATAAAAGAAGATTTTGTATTTGCAAGGGCTGCAGTTTGCCTGGTCACGTGATCTGGTTTTGTGACTTACGAGTGAGCGGAGCAGAGCAGGGAGCAGAAGTCAACACTGAGCTTTAACTGGTTTCACAACAGGCTCAGGCTCGACAGAAGCTGACACATCTGAAAGTTTGGTACCAAAGAGCGGCAGCACGTCCGTTCTTTGAATCATTTGGCTATAAACAAGAAGACGCTGAAAACAACATGTATTGTGCAGAACCTGCCGTGCTGCTGTTGCTACTTCTCCAGGTAACACCACAAATCTTTATGAACACTTACAAAAACACCACAAAGTCATTTTTGAGAGTTGCGTGTCTAGAACGCCAACAACCAGTGCTTCACCTTCAAGTAAGCAAAGTATCGTCCGACAGGATCGCTGACGAACTGTTCCAAGGTGTTACTCCGTATGAACATGGTTCAAAACGGCACGTGGAAATAACTCGAGCACTGACGGAGTTCACAGTGAAGGCACGATGCCCATTAATACAGTGAGCAGGCCCGGCTTCACAGCTTTGGTAAACACAGTGGATAAGTGGTACAGAATGGCCTCGTGCACACATTTGAGCCACGTTTCTGTCCCGCAGCTTTACAAAAAATGTAGAAACAGAGTTGCAGCGGAGCTGAAAACAGTGGAGTTCAATGAAACTGAAGCAGATTGATTTATTATCGCTTGTGTTGTTTGAACAATACATGAGAAGAAAAATAATCACATATTCAATCGCAATATTAAGTTCAAAAATCACAATTAGAATATTTTCCAAACTCGTTCAGCACTAGTTGTACATCTGGGTGTAAAAAAAGGACATTATCAAAAATTGGGTCGTCACATGAAAATCCAAGATGGCCACCACCATATATGTCACCTTGATCATTGCAGGAAGCTACGGTGCACCTCTTGGTTATTATTTTGCTGAAGGCCTCCATTGGCCCTCTTGGCTTTGCCATTGTGCCTGGTGATGGATAAAATTGTTCCCTTCGCTCACCATGATCCGTCACTTTGCTCTGCAAACTACAAACGTTCATTATACAGAGCGCTCAGAGATGGGGGGACATCAGCGTTCCATTCATTTATGTAATGCCAAAGAAAAACAGAAGTCCTCTCAGAGCACTGTACAATAACATTCACATTATTAAATGCCAGTTAGTGAAAGTGATCCATCTTGTTTTTTCTCACTCTCTTTCAGCCACTTCACATACCCCACCTGAGCAACAGCATGCCGTCTGGGGGGTTCGGGGGAATGGGTTGTGGGCTTAGTGGAGTTGGTGGGGACAGCATAGGAGCAGGTGGGGTGAGTCCAGTAGGAGGATTAGTCTCAGGTGCAGTAAGGGGGCGCCCCCTCAACTTAAAAATGAAGTTTGTGTGTGGTCAGTGCTGGAGAGAAGGTCAGGTCAACGAGCCAGATAAGAACCTGAAGTACTGCACCTCCAAAGCACGGCACAGGTAAGACTCGGCTTTCTGCCTTTTGTTGTCCTCATTACACACCAGTATATTGTTCAAGGCTCATTGCTCACTGTGTAGCGTTTTCATTATTATTTGATTTTCTTTGTTCAGCTGGACAAAGGAGCGCAGGGTCTTGCTAGTGAAATCGTTTGAAAAGAAGAAATGGGTTGTTGTTCGGCCTCTTCCCTTCTCTCGCTCCTATCCACAGCAGTACGACGTGAGTCCTTCCAGATGTTTGTTCACATCTGTAGAAGCACGTTTATACTGTTTGATTGATTAGTAGAGCACTCATGTACCAATGCAGTTGTGGAATTAAATCCAGATGTGTTGGTCTTTGTACCAATAAAATTATTTCATTTATAATTGAACTTGTTTTGTTCCTACAGGAATCCACAATAAAAAGCTAGAAATGTATAAAAAAAGATTTTTTTGTTTGGAAAACATCCCCTGTATTAACTTCAACTCTTCTTCTGGTTACACTTGCTGCTCTTAGGTATTATGTTTTTTAGCACCAGTTTCTGGAACAAACATGGAAAATGTGCTTTACTTGGTTATTTTTATTTAATTTATTTTTTACTTTGACCTTTATTTATACAGGTAGTCTCACTGAGTCACCAGGAGTCATTTTCAAGAGAGACCTGTTTGGGAGCAGATGGTGGGGGTTCAGGGTCTTGCTCAAGGGCCCAGGGTGGGGCAAATGAGGGTGGAGGCAGGTGTGGATGTTTCACCTTTCCCACATTTTGATGATGTTGGTCCAGGGAGTCAAACTGGCAACCTTCCGATCACAGGCCCACCTTCTCTAACCTCTGCACCACCACTCTCCATGTTCTGTCGACTAATAAGTAAAAAGGTTGACTTGTGTTTTGTTATTTAGATTTGTGGTGCAACACTCGTGGTTATGGCTATCGCCTTGGGGCGAGGTGGTTGACGGTTTGCCACCCACCTCGAGATCCTTTCTGTGTGGAGTTTACATGTTCTCTCCAAACATGCCGGGCTTTTCTCCAGGTACCTAATTTTCCTCCCACAGACCAACAACATGCGTGTTGTTGGTGAGTTTTGTCCCTGTGATGGACTCACCGGGGTGCACCTGCCTGTTGCGCAGTGACCACTGGAGATAGACACCAGCCACCCTGTGACTGCACAGAAACGTGGACAAAAGAAAATGGATGAATGGAAACATGTTTTGCTGAATTATAGTGTTGAACTAAACTGCTGCCTCATGAGTTTTTAAATTTGGCACTGTGCCTTTTTTAATCTTTGTTGTCTTAGTGGGGTCACAGAGGCCATAACAAGACTGTCCTCTCCCTGTCTACTTCCACCAGCTCTTTTGGGGACCTAAGGTGTACCCATACCCTCTGTGAGATATGCAGTGGTGATGGAAAGTTTGTGAACCCTTTAAAATGTTCTATATTTCTGTAGTTTCCTCAAATGAACCTGGGGTGGCCCAAGGTGACTCTGTGATGGCCTTGGTCACCACTGGCCACCCCCTGGCTCTGCCATTGCACCTGGTGGTGGATAAAATTGCTCCCTTCATTTGCCAGGATCCATCACTTTGCTTCGGACAGCCAGAAGAAAAATAAATAAATGTGTTGTTGAACACGGTGCCACTCCAACCTGTTTAAATGTCACCTCAACATCATGGAGGTTTACTGACGTTCCCCGTTCCATTCCTGTCAGTAAACATTTCAAAAGCTCCAATCACTGTTCCAACCCCTCGGAGACAGGGACATCATGGCTTGTTTTATTTTATCTTTTCATTTTTCTTGTTTGTTTTTACATGATTTTGTTTTTGTTCTTTTATTTTCAGTTTGAATTGAAGCATTCATGAGTTCCTTGTTTCAAACAGGAAGCTGGATAATTTAAACAGACATCCAAGAGAGAAATACTTTGTAACTTATCATGTTTTGTGAACCATTATTCATAAAGTAATACTGTTTATGTCTCAACCAGATGTGTGTGCATGTGATGAAGCAGAAGAAATGCCATTATATTGGGAACTGCTCGTTCGCCCACAGTCTGGAGGAAAGGGACGTCTGGACGTACATGAAGAACAACAACTGTGAGTTCTTAGTTCTTCCAAATAAGACTGGGCATGCAAAAATCCGCTGTGGGGTCTGAGCAATAGAGCCTGATATGTGACGTATAGAAAGTAGCTCTGTGGTGTCAGTACTGATTGATGAACTCCTGAAGTTAGAAAAGCACATTCAGTACATGGATAATCTTCCACGTCCACAGTATCAAGTGCCATCAAGATGATCAAGTTTATTAAAAGTGTATGTATTCCAAAACTGAGTGGTCCAGAAGTTCCCAGCCCTGGGGCTTCATGTACCAAAGAGCTTCGTACGGAACGTTGGCGAAAGAAACGAATTGGAAAAGTGCGTGCAACGAAATCTTCAGCTGCATCAAACTGTGTGCTCCCATGATTCTGTGCTCCATTCCTGCATACATCCCAACAAACATGAACCGAGTGCACGAGACAACTTCCCCGACACGCGTCCATTTACACCTGCACATGTAATCCAAAGGTTCGATGTCAGACATGAAGGTGGGAAGACACTGAAGGACGGCTGTCCCCCAGTCAGTGATGTTGGACACCACTTCCTGTGCATAAACTACTGTTGTTGTAAAAACAATAGAAAGAATCGTGATGGGGTGTGGGGATCTGCCGGCGGTGCACTTCTAAGACTGAGGCATTTTTAACTTTACTCGTGTGTGTAATACTGTAAACTAGAGTTGCATTCGGGCCTAAAATATCTGACCCGCCCCAGCCCCACCCGGGACATTTAATTAATCTTTGACTTCTTATAGTTATTAACGGTCAGTGGACGCACATGGCTGAATAAAAGGAGCAGGTGATTGGAGCTGAGGGGGTGTTTGTCCTTCAGTGGCCGTCAGAGAGCATTAAATCTCTGCTTCTGCTGCATTCTGCATTATTCAGACACGGACCCTGCTCTGGCATGTCTGCTTTGGGATCTCACCTGTTTGGGTCGTCAGCCGCGTGCATCCGCTGAGTGCTGCGGTTGAATGAACGTCCATTTGGGCGAAGGATCGCAGCCTGTCAGTACAGTCCCATCTGAAGCTTCACTGAACTTTTTTACTTCTTTCAAGGCCGATCAGCGCACGGTTAAATGGCTGCGTGCGGCTGGTGAAGGTATGGCAAGCCATGTTTCCATATAATTGAATCGACAGCTACGCGTGTCTGTTGACGCAATCAAAAGCCCGACGCTGGCCCGGCCCTAATGCGGGTCGGGCCAGGCCTAGCTCCGGGCTCGAGTTATAAATGACAGCTCTAGTGTAAACACTTGAAGGCTTGGAGAATTCATGCCAGATTATTAAACAAGTGATGTCAACCACCAGTGGCTGAGCGTCGTCTTCCTCTGCTGTAAGGAGCTCCAGCGTGGTGAGGACTGGAGCTGGCGCAGGCAGTGCACAGCAAGTTTACATTGAAGGCAGATGTAGTGCTGTTAATTGCACACGATATAATTTATGTGTTGCAGTGTTTCATATTTACCATGCAGGAGAAAAGCAACGTGTGTGTTATGCAGGGCGTAAAAAACTGTCATGTTTTTTCCATTTTGAAAGCATGCACCCGTCCTGTCCTGACTCCCTCCCTCCGCGTACGGTTTGTAAGCTTGTGAAGATGTTGACTATCCTGAACCACCTCTTAGTGAATTTATCCTTTTCACAACCACTCTCTCACATGTCCAGTATTTATTACAGTTTGTTGCCGTTGTGAAAAAACATGTTTCACCATTTGTGATTTCTTTCTTCAGCCGTTGAAACCTTTTTGATGCTTTCCCGTTCCATTTGTGTGTAGTGAGAGACATGCAGCAGATGTATGAACTGTGGCTGCAGCTCACCAATCAGAACAGACGAACAGAAAACCTGGCTGTGACGCCGCCGCCAGACGACAAGCAAGTCACGATAACAGCAGATTACACCGACGGCTTGGTACGTGGTGCTGGGGGGTTCTCTGCGGCTGATTGTGAATGTTTACGAAGCATTCACAATATGTGATCCATTTTTCTTCCATATGTTTTTCAGCATCTTTCTCATCCCACAGTTTTCAGCTATTTCAGCAAATTATAAATCAAAACGTTCAGCTCTTTCAGCACAATCCTGCTATGACTTTTGGTATTGGTGCAACTTTAGCTTTTTGAAATATTTAGCCTTTTCTGACGTTTTTTCCTGATTAACAAATGAAATGAGCTCATTTTCCGTCCTTCACATCTTCAGATCTGTTACAACCTTTTACTGCTCCTTTCACATTTTGTTCTGCTTCCTTCTGCAAATATAAACTTATTTTCAGCTACTTTCAGCTGTTTTTTTTCCAGCTGTTTTGTTCTCCTTTCAGATTCTTTCAGCTAACTACAACATTTTTGTGCTTCTTTTAACTTCTTTCTGCTAATTTCAGCTTATTTCTACAAGTTTAAGCTTTTTTTCTGCCTTTTATTTTCCATTTCATCTTCTATTTAGCCATTTTTATTCTAATTTAAGCATTTTCAGCTAGTTCTACGTTTTATGCACTCATTTCAACTGTTCTCAGTCTAATTCAGCAGAGATGTGCTCTCTCCACTTCCTTCTTGTACCAGTAATTTAAATGTAATTTCTTTTCAGCTGTTTTTTTCCTCCTCGTTTCAGCTTTTTCCAGATAATTTCCACTTTTTTGTGCTAGTTTCTGCTTCTTTCAGCAAACTTGTTATTTCTGCTTTCTTCTGCTAATTTAAGCTTGTTCTAACTTTTCAGCTACCTTTTTTAGCATTTGTAGCTAATTTCAGTTGTTTTCAGATAAAGTCAAGTTTTTTTGTGATCATTTCTGCTACTTTGAGGTTCATTAACTTTTTGCTAATTTCAGCTTGTTTTGCTTGTTTCAGCTTTTTCTGCTATTTCAGCTATTTAGCCATTTTATGCTAATTTTTGCCTTTTCAGCTAATTCCACTTTTTTTATAATTTCAGTTTTTCTGCTTCCTTCTGGTAGTTTAAGCTTATTTCTGCCTTTTTGGCTTTTTTTTTTTTTTAGCAAATTTCAGCTTTTTCAGCTAATTTCCTAATTTTTAATATGACTTCTGCTTATTTAATCCTAATTCAGCAAATCTATGTTCTTTCTGCTTCTGTTCATTTAGGCTATTTATTTATTTCAGCTACATTTCAGCTTGTAGCTAATTTCAGCTGTTTTTCAGCAAGTTCTTTCGCAGTAAGCATTCACACTGCGTTTTTGCAGGAAGTATAATTTCCCTGGTTTTCATTCTGTCCCTAAATGTTCAGGTGCTAACTGTGAGCTGTGTTTATTGTTGGTTTGTGAGACGTGCTGTGTCTTGTATCAGGCAGGCCAGCATCTTTCAGACGGCGATGAGCTCTGAGAGTCACTGAGTGATGGACCCGCCTCACCAGCTCCGACCGAACCTCCTTATGATCTTCCACCAGTGAGAAGCAGATGGACATGAAATGCTCCAGCCCATCATTTACACCAAACACACAAGGCCAGAACCAGCTTATCATAACAACAGTTTTCAAAGTCCAATATGAACTTTGGTTTGAACGTTTCTCAGATGCACCTTTAGGTTCTCCTGAAACAGTTTTTTTATTTCCTCTCAGAAATTCCACACAAAACGAGTTTAGCTTTAAAACAATCTGTTTGTATTTTTTAACGTCAACCTTTGACCTTTTATTTCCTGCTGAAAACTCCCCCAGCCACTGGAACGGTTGTTGGGAGCGTGCGCCGGTCGCGGCCCTCACGTAAACATGATGCGTGGCACTTTCACACCAACTAGTGAAACGATTATTGCTCCAAACATGCCAATCTCACAGTGCATCACGATCTTAGAGCCACAAAAACCGAACTATGAAGCCTTGACGAGAGACGTGCGCATCACTAAATTCAACCAGATCCTGGTTTCTGTCCTTCACTGGGATTTTACAGAGATTCATGCGAACACATGGAGTTTAATGGTTTTTTTCTTCCAAGGTGGGGTACACTTCCTTGATATATTTTCTGCCATATTGGTGGAATGTTTTGAATGTAACGCCTGCGTGGGCCTTCTAAACAAGAAAATAAAGAGTTTAAAAGGTTTGTTGTAAAACAAAAAAGACAATTTCCCACAATCCTGTGCAACATTTCATGTCCCGTTCTGTAGTTATTTATTCTGATCAACAGTTTCTGCAGCAGGTGTGAACACAGATGCAGCAACATTCAGGAACACAAGCTTGTATGTGGGCGGCATGGCTGAACAGTGGTTAGAGCTGTCCCCTCACAGCAAGAGAGTCACAGGTTCAACTCCTGACCTGTGGACTTCATATGTTCACCGTGCAGCGTGGGTTTCCTCCCACACACCAAAAACATGCATGTTAGACTGATTGGTAACTCTAAATTGTCTCTAGGTGAGAGAGAGAGAGTGAATGGTTGTTTGTCTCGCTTGTCTCTGTGATGGACTGGAGACCTGTCCAGGTGTCCCCCGCCTCTCACACACTGCTGGACGTGGGCACCAGTGACCCCCACGGCCCGAAAAGGAAGAAGCAGGTCAAGATAATGGATGTATCAAATATGAAAAATATACATATAGTCTACCAAAGTTCATGCTCAATAATCCAGGTGATAATCCAACAATGTTCAGTCAGGTCCTGGGGGGAGTCGACTGGGGAGAGGACGGCCCCCATAAACCATCTTATCACCAGCAAACTGGTTGGTCCACTATTGGAGTGTGCTGTTTGTGGGGAAACAGTTTGTTTGTAGCTCCTGAGACTGAAGAAGTCCTTTGGATGAAGGACAAAACGTGTCAACAAGAAGAAGAGTCCGTGCAGAGGACCTGACTGAACATTGTTGAGCTTATTGAAACAGAGCCCGTCTAAACAGGAGCTTGTACACGCTCAAGAGAGCTCTTTAAATGATTATTTTAAAGGTTAAAAATATGAGTATGTTAACGGCCTGTCCTAATTAACACTAGAAAGAAAAATTAAAAAAAAACAATAAAATGAAACACACTCCGACATGTCAGCTCAGAAGTGTAGGTGGGCGGGGCACGCTAGATTTAATAAACAAAAATCAGCTGTTCCAACTGAAACCAAAGTAATCAGCCCCTCATGCACTCCTTCACAATAATTAATAATTAACACTCAACAAAACGGAATCATCTCACTGACTGCACTTTATGTAGAAAAATAAAGAGTGTGAAATAAGTCAGTTTCACCTAGTTCATACCAGGAAGAGAGATCTGTCAATAATAATAATAATTATAATAATAATAATAATAATAATAATGACAAGTCCGTCGTTACGCTCTCAAAAATATCAAAATACAAACAAATCAGTTTGTTGGGGCCTGTGTGGTTCACCAGTCTTGGTCTTTTAGAACAGAAAGAAAAAGATAAGGACACGTGTCACCGGGTCGAGGTTTCCTTCTCCAGGTCTGGAGCGCTCCTCCAAAAACACTCCAGGAGTCTGCACTGATCCATATCAAGTCCTCTTAACCCTCCAGGCTTGGGTCAAACATCAGCTATGCTGGCCAAACTCTGGAGCTGCACCAGTCTGTATTGGTGCGTCTCTCCACGCTGCTTCACCTGCCACACCCCCTGCTGTCAAACCCCCGGTTCAGGTAAAGCTGTGACCCAGATAATTTTCTCCATGGATACTTTTCAGGATAAAATGCATATAAACAAGACATTCTATTTTGTATAGGCTTCGCCCTTTAAGGCTGTCGCTGATGGGTTTATCCCGATATGCGAAGCATTGCACTGAAAAATTTAGTCCACGCCCACCTGCTGTGTGGGCCCCACCTGGTCCGTATAAATTACGTTAAGAGCGGGAAATCGGCTCCCATTTTTTCTTCAGCAAGCTAATAGCACTGTCAGAAGAAGAAGAAGAAGGAAAGTTGTGTAGATGACCAACTTTTGTTAAGAATGCTTGGCCCGGCACGTCGACCTTCGGTCATCCGGTGAGCTCTCCTCCCCGAGGAGAAGCTGACGAGCAGTCTTGTTTCAAGGTAAGCGCCGAGGAATATTTCTCAGTGACAGGTCGCTACACGCTGGACAACGCCATCTTGTAATTTTCCTCTTATCGCCGACCCTCAAAGCGAATCTAATGGTTCCTCCGGGACAGGCGGCGCTCAGCTGCAGCCCCCCGCTGCTCATTCCCTCCTGGAGAGCGTAGTGTCGGTGGAGGGGGGCTGAGCGAATGCTCACCTTATCCCACCTCGTTTCGCATCGGCTATCACACTGCTCCCGGCCGACGGCGCCCTCTGGGGTTGCCCGGCGTAACCCAGGAGGCGGCTGGCATGAAGGGACCCCTTTTTACGTCCCATGCCTTTCCCGCCAGTTCGGATGGTCCGGCGGGAAGGTTGTTTTTTCTAGGTTCCATTCCAGCTCACCATCTTGATCCATCTGGCCTAGTTTTCCCAACAGGACGTCCTACGGGCGAGGCCACAGCCGGTTTTCCTGGTAGATTGGGGGGCCGGTCTCCACAGTCCGCACCCATCTCCAGAGCAGGGGTTCACCGAGCGGAAATTCCCTTAGTGCCCCCTAGAGCCGAGCCTGATGGAGGCTTCATCGGAGCAAGATGTCCAGGTGGACCAGCGTCCCGTGCCTCTGGTTAGCATAACCCAGATGGTGACACCGCTCTCCAACTGAGCTCACCAGCATGCGTTCCAGACGGCCGCAACGAACAACACATTACACTGTTGGCGTACACGTTCAGAGGTGGGAAGAGACGGGCCCTCTGACCTTCGGCTCGCTCCGCTCTTGCAGCGGCTGTTCGCTAACAACGCTATCGGCCCCTGCAGTACGCACCGTCTACAGGCCAGCTGACGTCATCCCCAACGGTGCGCCTCTTTTGCTGTCTGCCGCCCCGCATCGCAGCCGGAGAACGAGGTCCGAGAGGTTCTCCTGGCTCATCACTCCACCTTCCTCTCAGGAGAGCTGCAGAAGCTTTTGTTGGAGGGCCTTTTCATCAGCGAGAGATCATTTCAAGATGCTCCACGGCTGCACAACGCCTCCCCAGCTCTGCTACGCCAGCCCCTCCAGTCAGACGTCCTCGGCATCCGGAAGTTCAATTTTTCCCGGACTCCGCCAACAGGTGGCCCTCTAGGACAACAAACAGAGCTCAGGGGAAGATAACCAGGTGTCGGTTTGCTGGATGTGTGTAGATGACACGATGTGGAATAAACAATTTTATGATGAAGTGTCTTTTTAGCCAGGCTGTCAGCACGGATGATCTGACAAGCAGCCCCATCACACACACTCATCACGAATGAGCCTTTTAAGGTTGTTTCATTCACTGCCAGCGGTGCCAACACGCGCTCCCGCGGCACGAGCAGCCTTCACCTATAAGGCGCTGCGTTATGAAAGCACACACGCAGCTCTCAGCGCCCGCCGTTCACGTCAACGTTAACGTGAGACCGCGGTACGAGCCCAGTAACGTATCTCGCTCTTGGCAGGTGCGACACGCGTTTTCATCGCTTTGGTGCCAAACACGCGCTCCCGCGGCGTCAACAGTTTCGCAAGCCTCATAGCGGCTCTGCTCCTTCATCCTCGAAGAAGGTTTTCTGAATTAATACTGCAGCTCGTGGAATCATTCAAAAGCTCACGTGATTCGCAGCCAAGAATGAACGCGTTTCTGCAGAACGAGCCCAGTGGTAACCTCGCCCCACCGATGCCGCGCGCTGCTTCCTGACCACACCAGCATCAAACGCGTGCTCCCGCGGCAATCCTCAGGCAATCCTCGCTTAAGGCGTCGCATGAATGAGGGAGCGCAAACACACGACTCTTCAGGGCACGTCGGCTTATACGTGCACCCGGTCCCCGAGTGTTTACACGGAGCAGCTGCACACAACGTGAGCACAACACATGAGCTGCATCCTACAGCTTCAGCAAACGCACAACAATTTGCATGCTCGAGGACGCGCGTTTTTTCTTTCTCCTTCAACGCGCACCAGCTCACATCAGCATGCATGTGATTTCACAGCATAAACGCGTGCCCGCTTGATAACTTTATAACGAGTGGCAATGAGCGCGCGCTCCAGACGGATAGGCGAACCGTTTTCATCCGGGGATTCACGCTGCAGTACAGCTCAAACCTGGTGCGGAGGAACTCGAATGACGTTTTTCTATCATTTCGGGGACATGGGACCTTCCACCCAGAGCTATGGCTCAGACACGGCAGAAATCCTGGGAGCGGCTGTGGACCTGTTGCAACACGAGAGAACGCTGGATGTCAACTATAATTATCATGGAGCCACGGGACGATCCACCGCTGGGTGGACGTGTCTGCTCACAGCCTGTGGTCGTAATGCTTCTTCACCTCCCTCTCTCCCTCTGATATCACGGTTTTCTGAATCGAGCTCAGGAGGAGGGACAGACAGCTCCTCTGTCCCAAGTGCGTGAACGCATCATGGTTCCCAGGCCTATGACACTTGTTATCGGGACGCTCTTGGAAGCTGCCGTGGAGGGAGGACGCTCTCCTCCAGGCGGGAGGAGCGATCAGGAGTTAATCAGAATAGGCCAGCACCTGTGGTCTGGCCAATGTGCGGATCCTTTTGAGGATGGATCTCCCTCAAGATGTAGTGCGTACGATTCAGGATTCACGTGCTGCAACCACCACAGCGCTGTTCACATCAAGTGGTCAGTTTTTCAGCGCTGCTGTACAGAGAAAGGTGTAGAGGCCATTTCGTGTTCACTAGGTGGTGTGCCATCCTTTCTGCAACAGCTGATGGACAGAGATCTGGCGTTCAGCTCGTGTAAAACGTTCACTGCGGCCATCTCTTCCTGTCACAAAATTTTCGAGACAGAACAGCTTTAATCCTCCGCTGATGAAATGTTTTGTAAAAGGTGTACAGATAAGGCGTAGAGGCCACTTCATGTCCACTGGACGACATGCTGTCCTTTTCTGCAGCAGTCGATGAACAGAAATCTGGTGTCCAGCACGATTATCGTATGCTGCAGCCATGTTTTCTTCTTGTCTCAAAGTTGTCGGAGACAGAACAACCTTTAATCATCCTCTGACGGACCATTTTGACTCAGATTGAAATGGCAGCTGTGGACCTGTTTGCGACACGAGAAAACACTCAGTGTCAATTATGGTTTT